GGAGGAGAAGAAGGGAGCGAGTGGAAGAACGACGCGACAAAGTGAACAAATGAGGAATCGGGCTCAAATACAACCACGTTGAACACTATGAGCAGAAAGTGCATATTAATGATTTCTGTTGACGTGCTATAGTCTAAGCTCTCAATATTATTTTTTTCTCTCTTATTTGTAGATACTTCTGGGAAGGGAAATGGTGCTTGCTTTCAGGTCGTTGTTGGTCGTTCTTAATTTTCTTGGTTTAGGGTTCAAATTTGCATACACTTTAAACTCAGTGCGGCCGCCTTGCTGCTAGCCAACATGTTGACCATTTTGACATTTCTTTTCGACTGCTAAATTTTTGGCATCGTTTTTAGAGCTTTCAATGTTTGCGACCTCCTATGGGTTATTTAGAATTCTAAAATAAAATGTTTCCTCTAATAGAATGCCAGGATTCGTCTTTCTCTGAAATAATCCCAAAATTTGGCTTTCTAAAAACAAATGGGGGCCAACAATGAGCAGTCTCTGAAATTTGGAAGTCAGAGAGGATGCCAAGATTCTGGCAAAAGCGGCCACGACGTTTAGAATGTAGAGCCGGTCGACCATGAGTCACTGTACCGCACCACCACAAAAATAGAAATGTGGCTTTTCCTATTTTTAAGATGAGCGACCGGTGAGCGACCGAAGAGGAAATCAAAGAGCGAATGAAGTCTGTGTGAGTGCGTGTCTGTGTGAGTGGTGCCCTGCCGACCTTGGCAAGGCCGAACAGTGCGCGTGTTTATTCGTGTGGCGTCGTCTGGGCTTTGCGCATACCCGGGTCATGACATCACTCTCTCCCTCTCTTTTCTCCCTGCTTCCGCCAATGAGCGTCTCACTCTCCTTATACTCTCTCCCCCTCCCCTCTCTCCCCTTTACCCGACGGGGGCTATACAGAAACAGGTATCTCCAGATATAAATTTGGAATCTGCGCCCTGACTCAGACTGATGGCAGACAAAGAGCCGATGGGGGGGAAAGAGACAGACAAGCAGGCCGACAAAGAGAGACAGGTTGTGGGGCAGATGAGCTGTCATATCCTTTTCACTTGTTTATCGCTCGACCATTTCGTGACGTTCCGAAAATAACCGGCCCCGTATCGTGGCGATTACCGGGGCAAAATTCGTTGTTTTCAGGGGGTCCTTGCTCCTCTGCTGTCAAAATATTGTGACCTGTCGCTTTGAGGGGGGGGGGGGCAGCGAACGGGCGCCAAGCCGACCGATGCAGACAAAGAACGCCCTCCGAACAGAGAGGAGAGTGGAAAGGGGGGTGAATATAATACGTTTACGATGAAACTTGTATTTTTTTGACAGCCTAACTGCCTCTTTCGGGTAACTTTAGGACCAAATTTGTCCAAACTTTAAGGGTAGCCCTGATTCAACGTGCGGCTGCTTTGTCGGTGTGTTCATCTTTTTCGTCTTATCTTTGGCCCGACTGGCTGTGCTGTGTTATGTGTTTTTCGTGGTTTTTTTTCTTTTTTGTGTTACATTCTGAAATGAGATGGAGGACGTGGTGCGTCACCTCCGGCGATCGTCTTCAAACGACAATTTCAAAGGAATAATTTTTGCACGCGCGCATTGTTTACTTGCACCCGTGCTTTTCTAAGAGATAACGTGAAATTTCAATTCTTTCGTCAACAGTGTTAGCGAAACGGGAAGCACCTATTGCATTTAATACATGCATTATCAAAAAACGAAGTACGCGAATCCGTAAGTGAATTTAATTCATTGCAATAATGCCAATGCCCAATGCCTCGGTCAATGCAGTGTTCATGGTACAAAATCTCGTCTTTTTGTGTGGTATCAAAGTCCATCTGTCTGCCTAGAGAGCTCTGGGTCGGTCCGGCACATTTTTGAAACAAAGAGTCGGCTCCGCCGGCGGGGCTCTGCGATGTGCGCGAGATCCGTGAGGCACCCCGGCGAGGTATGGCCGCCGGGATTAGCTGGCTCCACTTCCGATTATAGAGGCGTCAACGGGAGCCCGGTCGTAAATTCTCGGTCCCGTACATCGGCCCCTGCTCCACTTGCTCTCTCTCTCTCTCTCTCTCTCTCTCTCTCTCTCTCTCTCTCTCTCT